CGTCAAGCGAATGTTGTACCACAGAATGAACCTTGTGCCACAGAAGAAGGTCATGACATTCAACCGACACATGGGAGATTTTAAATTCCACGCATGTTACACTGATTTAGACTTCTTGAGTGAGGACGAACGAGGGTAAGGGTCTTGGGAAGTATTATCACATGTGTAACCTGTTTAAGCTATTCTGGCGTGCCTAGCCGGAAGGATCGTTAGCGTGAGAGGAAAGTTTTGCCAGAGGAGCTTCCAAGGTGTGCGGAGAATGGGGAGGGAGGAGAGGCTTCGGCACTTGCTTCTTGCGGTAGAGACTGGCACGAGCGAAAACAACTCCACAGGGTAAAGGCTTCCCAGGCTTAAGCTATTTAGAAAGTGCTTTGTCTGTTCGACGTGTTGTTGTTTGAAAGACTGTCATTTATTAGGAACTAGCCTGCTTAGCAACCGTTTCCAATCAAGTTATTGCGCGAACATTAGAGCAAGAGCGAAAGAAATGGAAGATCGACGAGGAAGGGAGGGGAGGGGAGGGGAAAAGAGGAAACGTTTCCCTCTCTCCCCTCCCCCTTGAGATTCCTCTTTTGTGCTCTCGTCCCAACTTTCGCTTCAAACTCGCGCAGAAACGCTTGCTACGCAGGCCAGTTTGTTACTTACTTATGATGTTAATCTCACTGCTGATCGTATTTATTGGCATATTCTTCCACAGAATGCTTGGATCAGTGAACTTGACCTCAGTCGAGGTTAAAGGCGTGGCCGCTGCCCTAGATAAGCACTCGCCTAAAGGAGAATCAAAGGGGATAAAGGCATACTTCAGGATGGACGAGAACGGACTATTGAACCTAGAGAAGGTAGGCTACTGTGTTTCCTCTCGTGTTTTACTTGGTGGACTGTTAAAATACAGGATGGGCTATTCTTATGTTAGCTTGCAATTCTCGTAAATTAGCCATGTTGTGGGGTTTTTTTTTGTTTGCATTAAAAGTTTAGGGGTGAAGTTTGTGCTAAACTCAGGCAGTATTTATACTTAAATGTTTCTGACAATGACAAAGAAGTCATTAAAAAGACTGGGCCATTATTGTTAAGGCATTAATGCACTGAAATTTGCTTTTCGCCTACATGGCCTATAACAACTGAATTTTATGATGGAGGATCAAGCCTGTAATCTTCTAAAACTTGTAAATGTTGTCATTCAGTAATTATCTTCTGCAGACTCAATGTAAGTAACTTGTTTCTTTTCAGGTGGAGTCTGTGTTTGAAAAGCAGCCAGACGAGAAACCAGAGGAGGAACAGTCAACGTTTGCTAGTAAGTTCTTGTTCTTTTTCTTTTTCTCCAATTCCAACGATCGAACTCCACAAATATCCCATATTTTATTTAGATCTGCTGAAGACATTTTACTGAATTGAATGGTCGCATAACAGGATTTCTTCCACAGAATGAAAAAGGAGAAATGTATTCAATGTCTTCTTAACTGTCTCTAATTTTGCCGGGTTTTATTGTTATTTCAATGTTCTTTGTCGCCTGTTTTTCCCCATTTTCTTGTTGCATGTGAAGACCAAGCTTGTTCGATAACCTCTGGGGGTCATCCGCTTTAAAAGCATACATGGCTGGAGTGGGGGAATTTTCATCTTTATCCCTGCCTTTTTCCTCACACATAACGAAGACGGAAGATGTTTTGAATTATTTAAGTTTTGAGTTCGTCAGTGCCAATTTTCGTACGTTCGTTTAAAACCTGTGAAACTTTATCATATTTTAAAATCTAATCTTGTTTTGTCTGCAGAGATCGGAAGTAAAATTTCAAGTTTCTTTGGTAGCTCAAAAGAAGACGAGAACAAAGAGAGCAAGGTTGAGGTGGGTTTATTTTATTTCCTGTTGCTTGCACTGTGAAGTGGCGGAAATCGGAACTTCTCATTGTGATATCATTGGCTAACCAGTCATGAAGGACTTTTGTCTTAAGGGCACAAGGAGACACTGCAAAACAACAGCTTGCGCGTGCATCACGCTTTCTTGTACATTTCTGTGCCGTCATCGCACGACCAAGACGTGAAACTTCCTAATTTCACGCTCTTTGGTAGACGACGAGTAGTCTCTCTTTTTTTCTTAGTCCGTCAAGCGAAACGAAAGAGAGACGGAAATGAATGAACAGAGCGACTGCTGGCAGTCTAGCTTTATGGGGGGCAATTCACTTAAGTGTTGATTTCGCTGTCCTCGCCGGCGTCGTTGCCTAAAATGGTCACTTTGAGTTGTTCCCTGCCCTTTTTCAGTCGTTTTCGTTTACTCGCGCTGTCAGGCGGACGTAATTCGTAGAAGATAGTTGACCCCGATCCCAGCCGTTTGACGATTTAAGGATTTGCTTTCTTGAAGGAGGGAGATAAATCCGAGGAAAAAGAAGATGAAAAATCCGAAAAGGAAAAAACAGGAGATGAAGAACCAAGTGTGAAAGAAGGCGACAAAACCGGGGAAAAACCAGCGGAGAAAGAGGAGGAGAAAAAAGAGCAGGCGGAAGAAAAGAAAGAAGGAGAAGAGGGGAAGAAAGAGGAGAAAGAAGAGGAAAAGACAAGTGATGAAGAGAAAGATGGAAAGGAGAAGAAGAAAAGTGAAGAGAAGGGAGAAAAAGAAGAAAAGAAAGAAGATGAAAAAGAGAAAAAAGAAGAATCAAATGAAAAGAAAAAAGACGCCGAGAGCAAGGTAAAAGGAAAGTTTCTTTCGTAACTGCATTCACTGTGCGATGACAGAAACTGGTGCCACCACAGGGCACCCACACAAACTATGTGACTCTTCGCTTGTTTGAATAGGTCACTTTCCGAGTTCCTAAAACTCTCACTTTCAAAACGAGGCTTAGTGCAAAACCTTTCTTGTGAAAATGAGTTTTGTTCAGTTTGCGTGAGTTTAAAAAACTATTTTCATGTCAATGGCTCCGCACTTATCTTCGCTTCTAAACAGAGGTTTGGGGCAACTACGAAATGGCCTGTTTTGAGAAAAATTTATTGTAATATCGAAAAGGTTTGATATCGTAATACCGCCATGAATACCCAGTTTTTGTGCGCCCTGTGTGGTCCCACGTAAGACTTGAGAACCGGAAGTCTTCTTTAGTTCCTATTTTACCCCGAGTTTATACTTTAATCACTACAGTGCTTTCCCCTCGACTTATGGTAAATTCGTTCTTGCTAAAAGAATAAATCTAATTCTGTCTCTCTTCACAGGATGAAAAGGCAGGCAACAAGACTGAAGAAGCTAAAGCGGAAGAAAAGAAACCAAGTAAACCTGTAACTGTTCGTGAACCGCTCGAGATGGTACTGCAACTCGACGATGTGGCCAACACTTCAGAAGATGCTCTGTCCACCTCGGTTAAAAAGTATGATTCAAAAAATGCCTTCGTGCGTAAACTGCATTATATACGGTAGCAAGTTTCCTTGGTGATTTTAGTGGAAAAATACGACAAGTTTTCGTTTGACAAGTAGATAAAGGTCTTTTGTTTCACTTTGCACGTGTCTTACTAGATTCTGTGAAACTGCGCACCTACCCCTCCCCCAACCCAACGTTAACACCGACTTCTCACTAAGGGCAAAGCGTTGGGTAAACTAAAAGGGGCGGAGTGGGTGGTTAGTATCCCAGAATCTATATACTCATTTCATGTGAATTTTCACACCAACCCCTCCCATAACCCAACGCTAACACTATCTTCTGGTTCTGGTTGGGGGAGGTGTGGGTGAGCAGTTGCCCAGACTCTATACACTCTTTGCTAAATACTCATTTCTCCCTTGGAAACCTTCCGAGTGTAAATGACAGTGTAGTTCCAGGGAGTGGATCAATTCCCTGTGCCACCTCCCCCGTTTCTTTCTTTTTCCACGGTTTTGCTGTAAAGTAACATCTTTTTCATTGTTTTCTTCAATTAGACTCAAGGACTTACAAGCACGTGACGATGCTAAATATGCAAACGAACACGCGAAGAATCTGTTGGAGTCGCACATCTTTAACATGCGCGATAAACTTTCGGGTGATGAAGGACAGTTACTTTCTACAGAGGAGGAGAGAGAAAAGATTGAACAAGCTCTTAGCGAAGCCTCAGAGTGGCTGGACGACGAGGGCTGGGACTCGACTGCTGACGTAAGCTTATAACCCTAAAAAATTGCCATGGTAACCGTAAATTTGCGAAATTGAGGACTTTCCTCTGCCATGATGGCAGCAATAATGAAAACAGCACTTATTCTTTCTCCCTCTTTTCACTTGTTGTTTTGTCTTTGCCCTCGCCCTCGTGGTTTCTTAAAAATTCATTATTGTCTCATTTCTTTTTTTTCCCCGAGTATTTAAGGCTAAAACAAAAGCATTTCAATCATACGCAGCCGATATCAGGCGGAGAAGCTGTGTAACTTGGTTCAAGCGCGGGAAAATCTGTAACCCTGTAGCCAGTTCAAAGGGCGGGAAAATCTGTTACCATAGAGTTTTTGTTGCACTGACGTGCACCATGCGGGAAAACGAGCCCGCCATCTAAATAGTTTTCTTGTTGATGAAATAACTAAGCTAGGAAACTGTGTTTCCCAGGGGCCAGTAAACCTGGTTTCCTTTTGTGTGGCATGACTGGGAAAACGTTTATTGGGTATCTTCTCCCTGGAAAGTTTAACTAAAGAAAATATTACACACGTATATCTTACTTGTCCTGTGGGACAAGTGCTTGTGGAGGTTTTGTATTGTAGTCGCATTTTTTTCACTCGCGGCTTCACAAGGGGCCTGGAAAGTTTGGAACCGAAAGCGCGGGAAATCATATGTACGTGACCAGTTGTTTCCCAAAAGAGATTTTAAGTCAGTATTGACTGTTGTCTAGGCTCAATTAGCAGCTCGCCTAACTTTTTAGCCTTGCCTTTTAGGTATTTTTCTTCATTTAGCATAGTCCGATAGAATGATAAATTCACTTTCGCATTTTCAGGTATACAATGACAAGCTTCAGACGCTAAAAAAACAGTCAGTGGACTTCAGATATCGTTTGAAGGAGAACAAGGCCAGGCCCAAAGCGATAGAACTACTGAGAAACAGTTTAAACTTGTCTAGAACCTTCTTTGTCCAGATTAACAATATTACCGACAAGGACGAGATTTACACAAGCAGAGACTTGGAAGAACTCCAAACAATTATCAACGAGACAACGGTAAATAAATTCCGAGGAAGTACGTTTCCACTAAAATTAACCCCTCCCCCCTCCCCCGCCAACCAAATGTTTAAAATCCCTCCCCTACCCGTCCAAAGTAATGACGTTCCGTTAACTGAACAGCCTCTCCCACTCCATCCTTACTTCACTCCCCCCCCCACCTCCGCCTCACATAAAATAGAAACTTTGATCACTGTCAAGGCCTCTCGTAAGAGAGAAAATCTCCTTCTGCTATCATTAAGAATTTTGCTAACAGACTTGAAAAGTAGATCACAGCCGGAACAATCATCTGGAACTTTGAAAAGGAAACAGAAAAAAGAGTCTTTAAGTTTTTTGTTGTTCCTTTGTTTGCAGGAATGGCTGGATGCGAACGTGAAAAAGCAGAGCGAAGCAAAATCTTCAGATAATCCCGTGTTGGTTGTCAAGGATATCGAAGCTAAACAAGGCAAATTGGATCGTGAACTGCTCTACCTGTTGAATAAGGCCAAGTATTACGTTCCAAAGCCAAAGGTCAATGAAACAGGTACGACTCACGTGTTCTTTACGTCTACAGTCACGTGATTTGCATGTGCTGCTCGACCAATATAGGGCGTACCCAACCAGTCTGGTAAAAAGGAGATGTATCCACGCTGCCAATAGGGTATCACGTGATTTTCAAAATTTCATGTTAGGTCGGTTGTTTCATTTAAATGGTGTAACTGTACTTTCATTAGTTTACAAACGCGAAAGTTAGAACCACCTTGTACATCATAATAAACAGTACCACACGAAAGTACTGCTCAGTAGCTGTCATTTGAATGGTTACACTTCGGGATTTCTTCCACAGACTCATAAGTTAGAACCACCTTGTACTGTATAATAAACAGTGCCACAAAAAAGCACTGCTCAGGAGCTTTCTTTTGAACCGGGTCACACTTCAGAATTTCATCCAGAGACTTAAAAGAGTTAGGTCTACTTTGTATACAGTATAATAAACATTTCCACAGGAAAATACAGCTCAGTAGCTTTCATTTGAATTTTCTTCCCTTCCTGCAATATACTGAGTGTGTGATTGAGAGACTAACAGACAGACAGACTGACTGTCTGCCAATCGAGCTTGACGAGTTTCCGAGTGATGAGCTGACCAATTTTCTAATAGACTCGCTTATTGAACGGCTTTTTACGTGTCCAGTTTGATGGTGCTTATTTAAGCGAGTTAATTTGTTATTGTTGTTTTTGTTCCATTAAAGCCTCAAATACAACAAAACCAGGAGCTGATGCAAAGAAAGAAAGTAAAGAAAAGGAAAGCAAAAAAGAAGACAAAAGCGCTGATCAACAACAACAGACGAACGACAAAGAAGCGGAGAAACCTAAAGATAAAACGAAGAAAGAAGACGAAAAGAAGACAAACGAAAAGGTGGAAAATCAGGAACAAACAACAGAAAAGAAAGAGAAAAGTGAAAGCAAAGACTCTGAGAAAGAAGAGCCATTACCTTTACCAAGTCCAGACGACTCCTCGTCTAGTGAGCCCGCGGGGAGAACTACTTCCTCAGAGGATAGCTCAAAAACACAAGAACAGTCTTCTCAAGATAGTAAAACGAAAAAGCAAGCCAATGATGAATTATGATAGGTTCTTTATTAACTCTCTCTAGTTTGTAAAATATTTTGCAAGTTTTAAAAATTTGATGAAATAACTTATTGAAAATTTCTTGCGATATCCACATTTGCAGTTGATTTGTAATCATCAGTCAGCTGAGACTGCATGAATGCAGCTTATCAAGCGTTGTGTTGCGTTACGTAAGCTGACAGCTCCGATAGGTTTTTCACTGCCTCTACTACACTGTTGCTCAATGGACTGTCTTTTTTAAGGTTCGAGAAGGCTCTTCCCCTGATATCAGAGGGTTTTTGTGTTTGTATCCTAGAAGGAGGACGAAGAGAGGCCAAAGAATAATCGTATAAATAGTCAGAAAACGACTGCCTCCCTTGCCGTTAGCGTCTCGAGCCTTTTTGCTCGGTTTTCGGTTTCGGCATATTTCTCCGATTGACGGCCGATTCTGACACGATCAATCCCGACAACACGGCGAGCAACGATTCTTTGTGAATGAAATTGTTAC